GGCAAGGTGATATTTGAGATTTGAACAGGAAGAAGGTAATCACGCTAGGGGAGCATGAGTCAGCAGAGCTGCTCGGTATCTTCACGCACCCTGTGCAATACCACCCTCTTCTGTGATGCCTTGTCTGCCCTCTGAGGCACCAGGGCAGGTCCACCTGCACCACAGCAGTGCTATCATATAGATTTTTTTTAAATATTATGTATTATTATAAGCATATTATTATTACAAATCATGATTTTTCCTTATTCCCTTTCCAACCTATCCCTCCCCAAACAACATCCTCCCCCCACACCCCCATCTCTAGTATTCTGAAAGCTCAAGGAATTGTTTAGGTCTTTTCTTTCTTAGTACCCAGTTATGAGTGAGAACATGCGGTATTTCTGTTTCCTCGTCTGGCTTTTTTCGCTTAATGTAATTTTCTCCAGACTCATCCATATCACATAGATTTTGGTACATACTTGGTGGGTGAGTGAGTAGGTCAGTGAGTATACAGAAAACTAGGCAGTGTTACTTTTGGGTTTAGTTTTGTGTTTTATGGAACCCAAGGCAAACTCTCTTAGTAGGTCTTATCTGTGAATACATACTTGGTGGGTGAGTGAGTAGGTCAGTGAGTATACAGAAAACTAGGCAGTGTTACTTCTGGGTTTAGTTTTGTGTTTTATGGAACCCAAGGCAAACTCTCTTAGTAGGTCTTATCTGTGAGTTGATTTTAATAATTTGGAAAACCATCAGATTCAGTAAACATATTGCTTGGTATTTTAGTCTGTTTTGTGTTGCTATAACAGAAATACCTGAGAGTGGATAATTTATAAAGGAAAGAGGTTTATTTGGCTTACGATTCTGGGACAGCTGCATCTGGCACAGGCCTCAGGCTGCTTCTACTCATGGCGGAAAGTGGCAGCAGCTGGCGGGTACAAGCAGATCACATGGCGAGTAAGGAAGCAAGACAGAGAGAGAGAAGGTGCCAGGGTCTTGTTAAGTAATAAGCTCTCCCGGGAACTAATAGAGCGAGAACTCACTCATTAATCCCCCTCCCCCAGGGAGAGCAGAGGGATCTGCCCCCAGGACTCAATCAGTTTCCAACACTGCCACATTGGGGATCAAATTTCTACATGAGTTTTGGAGGGGACAACACACCCAAACTCCATCCCCTGGCTTCAGGGAGGATGTGTCCTCAGCCGCCGAGATGTGATGGTAATCAGTCTGTATCTTAATAGTTAAGTCTTTCTCTCAGAAATTGTTTTTGGTCTTGAGGTGGGGTCTATATGCCTGTGTGATTTGAACCTGGAAAAAGGGCCAATTCCTCTTTACCCAACTACTTTTTTTTAAGAAGATGATAAATAAGTCCATTGAGCTAGTTTTAAATTTTACTAAATTGAAGTTTCTGAGAAAAACGAACAAAGATAGCAAACTATTCCCCAACTGTTTTTCAAGTAAGCAAATATCTTGATTCAGGATTTTTGTTTTCCTGATGGAAGTTTCATTAGAATGAATCCCATTAAGGTCGGATCAGAAGTGATAGTGGTAATTATCTTGTTGAGAGAAATCAGAATCTATGTAGAAGTTAACATTTAAGGTCTCTGATTAAATTGGAATCAGAACATGTCCTGTTAATAGCTATAATAAACAAATGTTTTATACTTTTAAATACAGCTGTACTAACAAACAGTAATATGCTGATAAACAGGATGTAAGGGCTGTTATTATGGCTCATATTATGCTAATTTCATATAAATAATGAATCCCGTAGGATTTAAGGGAAACCTGTGGTTTTTCAGTATTATAAAGTACCCTACTTATGAGCCTTAGGGCTTTGAGCATCACTGGAGATTTTTACATCATCTCTGATCTTCAGTTGAGCTAGGAGTGGGGAGAGAGGGAAGGATGTGCAAACTGGGTCATCGGCTGCCATGTGGTACAATTTTTTCCTCAGGGAGCACAGTATATGGAACGGAAGATTGAGGTCACAGCACGCTTTTCCAGCTCCAGGTAGAGGGCTGTCCGTTTGCTTATTTGCTCTTATGTTAAATATTGAAGACATGTACTCTTAGAAGAATAATATGTCTGTGTATTTTTTCTTCCTTATTTGTAAATCTGTTCTGAGTAGTCACTAACAAAACCTGTGTTATTTAGATTTCCTGTCTAGATTCCCCATGGAAGAATTCTGGATAGGCTGTTTTTTTGATGGCTAAGTATTAAGATTTAAGAGCTCAAAATTCATTCTAAGCATCTTTAGAAAACAATTTTATTTTTGAATAAGTAATATATTTCCTATGGGTAAAATGTATAAAAAATGCTTTAGAACACCTTTATCTGTCTGGTTTCTATTCCCTTTTCTGAAAAGGGAAGCATTGTTAGTTTTATATATATTCTGTGATATTTTTCTTATACATTTATAAACAAAAAAGCAAGAATCCTAATATTTTCCCTAAAAATATTAATATGAAATATTCACATCTCAGATTTTATAATTATAACCAGTTTTAAAACTTTGATATTTTATTAAATAATAACGTTGATTAGCATAGAAATGCTAGAAAGAATCAGACATTAAGGACGCAAGAAATGATAAAGGAATGCATAAATGAAGAGTTTTTCAGTAAATATTGGTAGGACATGTAGCAGGGAAATCAGTCAGGTGAATGAACTTATATCTACATGTATTGCAGTAAATTCTAGATGGTTTAAGAATTAAAATACTTTTTGTTCTGTTTGTTTTTATAAAATTATATGACACATCGATGTTTACCTATATGTAGGTTTATTGAAATGAGTTCTCAGATAATGGGCTTGAGTGTATTAAAGTAACATTTTTTAAGTTTATTACATAAATATTTGTTTTTATTTATGTAATATATTACACATCCTCATGCAGTCCACTTTCTGAAATACGTAGGAACAGCAGAGACTTGACAGCTGAGGCCTGGGTTCTGACTTCGGATCTATCCCATATGTCTTAGTTTGCTTTATGCTGCTGTAACATATTACCACAGACTGGGTAATTTATAAAGAACAGAGATTTATTTCTCACAGTTCTGGAGTATGGGAAGTCCAAGGTCAGTGGGCCCACATCTGATGAAGGCCTTCTTGCTGCATGGTCCCACGGTGGACGACAGAAGGGCAAGAGAAGGCCGAACTCACTTTTACAACAACCTGCTGTCATGATGATAAACCCATTTCCACAATAATGACTTTAATCCTTGCATGAGTGCTCTGCCCTCATGGCTCAATTGCTGCTTAATGGTCCCACTTCTCAATACCACAGTAATGGCAGCTAAATTTCAACATGAGTTTTGGAGGGGACATTCAAACCATGGCACTATAGAAGCTGTCTGCACCTGGGGAAGCCCTTTCACATCCACGAGCCTCGTCTTCCCTGTCTTGGATTACCAGGAGGATCAAAAGAGAGGGAAAAGGACACTGGACAGTAAGATACCGTGTAGTTATTATTGTACATATGTGACTGATATAATTCCTAAGAACATTTAGGGAATGACATAAAATAAAGGAATTCTAATCTCTGATATTTTGACAGATTGTCAAATATTTAGATTATTTATCATGAATATAGGAAGCAACTCTAATAATTTGTTCATCCTTTAGGACTGTGATATTACGACATATTAACTTGGTTATTTTCTCCATCTGCTATGGAAGAGGCAACTATTGATAAGCAACTATTAATAATTACTAATAATGAAGAATAATGGATAAATATTTTCCCTCTCTTTAAGTATTATTAAAACACTATGGATATTTTAATCATTTTGAACTGAGAATTATCAAGTATTGATATAAATATGGGTTGCCTAACCATATAATGTAACCATAAAAAATAAGAATCTTTTTTTCTGTTTTTAACTTAAGGAGTATATGGAGTGTATTTTGCTATTGGTTCTTGGAACATGAATACTGAAGTTTCTTATTTTCTTTTTTTTTTTTTTCTTAAAAGATGACCGGTAAGGGGATCTTAACCCTTGACTTGGTGTTGTCAGCACCACGCTCAGCCAGTGAGCGAACCAGCCATCCCTATGTGGGATCCGAACCCGGGGCCTTGGTGTTATTAGCACCGCACTCTACCGAGTGAGCCACGGGCCAGCCCGAAGTTTCTTATTTTCCTTCAAGCAATCACTGTAGTGGTTTGCCTCTCCCTGAAAAAGCAGAGAAAATAAATTAATAACTGCTTAAGAAGTTGTCTCAGATTTGTTTGTAACCACAGAATGTGGATGCCTGTCAGAATAAGGAAACGTTGATTTTGTTTGTTTGTTTCCTGTGTCCTTTTTTCAGATTTAGGTTTGTTTTGATCATTTTGGCTTGTTTATTTCAAGAAGCTAAGCAGTTTGTTTCCTGTTTATTCCAATTCTGTTCCATATTTAAAGTGACTAAGACATTTGGAATGGTTCCCAAACTGAACAGTGTTTCATTTAAAATAAAGTAATTCCCAGGGCACTGTGGTGTGGGAAGTGAAGAATCACTTAGCACAGCATCTTAGGTGGACTTGGAGTATTGGCATGTGCTCTTAAAAATATTTAAACCATTATTAGTACTTGGGGGTGGGGAACCAGCAAAGCCTGCGTTTGATAGAAAATGGAATGGTGTAAGGAAAGGGATTTAAAGTCCAAGCATTTTTCTTTTAGCATGTGTGATCAGAATAGTCAGGGTCCTAGTCACAGGTTTCTCTACCAATTTAACTGGAAAATTAGAAACTATGAAATCAACATTTTTTTGCACACAATTTTTGTACTTCTGGGTTGTTGAATCTGTTTGTTTCATGTATGTAATTCCCTGCCCCATATACATCTTTTAAAGTACGATCTAAAGCCATTGTGTTTATGAATTCCAAACACTGACTACTTCCAGTTCCCATCCATATGTGTTCCTTATGTAAACATAACTTAAATGCATTTCTGTGGCTTGTCTAGCTGTTTTTGAACCCATGTGGTGGTGACTGTAAAAACTAACATCACCTATCTTTGTGCCTGTGTTTATTCTTTTTGCAGTTGAAAAGGGCAGGCAGAAGAATCCTAGAAGTTTATGTATCCAGACACAGACGTCTCCAGATGTGCTGTCTTCTGAAAAGACACTTGAATTGGCACAGTACAAAACAAAATGTGAAAACCAAAGTCGATTTATCCGGCAGCTCAAGCAGCTTCTTTCATGTGGTAATACCAAATTTGAAGCTTTGGCAGTTGTGATTCAGCACCTGCTGTCTGAGGTAAGGATGGGTCCCCTCTAAATAGTCTTTCTCACTGAGCGGGGTGCGGGGGAAAAGGCGCACGCTCTTGCTAAATTAGTGATTCAGAAGATCAGGAGGAATTCATCCAGTTATGCTTGTGTCAGCTCACTTGATACCTGAGTCAGTCTGTAGCAATTTGGGATGGAAACATTTTCTTAGTACTTCCTTTTCTCCCCTGTGAGTCTCTTGGTTAGGATGACAGCAGTGAAGGGATACACGCCTCTTCTACTCTTAGACACCTCTAGACCTGTGTTAGCTTTACCATTTTTTTGCCACTTAGTTTTTTGCCTCACTATAGGTGGCTTTCCATACGCATTTAGTTTAATGCTTTGAAACATAAGGATGATTATATTTATGGGTCAAAGAACACTTTTGAGATAATACCCAGAATTATCTGAGGACCCTTCAAAATTTCCATCCATTCCTAAAATAATCTGTGGTACAAGAAAAGCAAAGCAGATATTCTTTGTTTACTTATTCTTTCCTGATATTTTACAGGAATGTTAATTCAGGATCTGGTTAAAATTCATTGAAAGAATCAAATTTATATGAACATATGCTATTGACATAGCAACAAAAACTATAGTTACCTAAGGGGGAAAGTGGGATGAGAATATAATGTGAGATATGTGTGTGTGTATATATATATATATAGAGAGAGAGAGAGAGAGATACTGAGAGGCATTTTTTTTTTTTTTTGGCAGCTGGTTGGTACAGGGATTT